GGGGGAAGGGCGGGGGGCGCAGCCCAGGATCTGCGGGCTGAGGTAGGTATTGCGTGACTCCGCCATGACTCGCCTCCCCTGCAGGTGGAACAGATCGTAGAGGCGTGGAAATGCCATGCTCTGCGGAGAGGGGATGCGGCCCGGGGCGCCCCGTGCCGCCGCCGGAGGGGTACCCTGCCCCGGGAGCATCATCGCTTTCTGGACCTGCCCTTTAAGTGACCAAATGCCGCGACTTGCGAGGAATTCTGGGCCTCTCCTAAACTACAGCTCCCAACATGCTCCGCGCTCGGAGCGGGTTTCCGCTCCCAGAATGCCCGGCTAGCGGGGCGCAGGAGGGGCGGCAGTCTGACACGCTCAGGGGCTGTGGGTGAAGTTCCGGGGGAGGGCGGGCCTGAGCGGCGTATCAGTGGGCTGAGCCTTGGCTTCAAGGTCCTTGCGAAGCCGGGAAGCGGGTTCCTTCGCGCTGTGCTGTGGCGTTACAGCCGGCTCTTGGGCATTCTCGCCCACCCTGTTTACTCTTTTAATTCCCACATATCGTTTCAGCTCAGCCCCTTCTTTAACTCCAAACCTGCCTCCTGACGATCTCTCTCTAAATGTCCCACAGAGACCTCAGACTCAATCCAAAATTGAGCTCGCCCCTCATCTTTCTCCAGTTTTGCCCCCATCGTGTTTCTCATCTCCGTGGGTGCCCAAGCCTGAAGTCTACCGCTCATCCTTGCTTTATTCCTCTTCCTCACATCTGCCTCCCGAGGCTTCTACCTTTTAAGAGGCTGAAAGTTAGCAGAATATGCCACCCCAAAATATGCCTTTTTGGCATAAGGTTATTTTAAGCTGATTATTTTGAGAAAAGGGAGAAGTTTTGAAAACAGAGAAGTTACCCTTTTGTAAGGGAAATTTTTAGAATGGAAATCTCTATTTGTAAGGGTGTCTCCCTCTCTGTACCAGGATGACTAACTCACAGGAGAATCTTCCAGCGAAGTCAGTGAAATCTGCTTAATAAACCTTATCCTTGCTTTTGGTGCTTTTTCCTGATGGCCATCCTATAACTGGCCTCCCCACAGTTTTCTTTCTATTGTTAGCTGAAGGAGGTATTTAAGCAGGTATTTTAGGCCACCTCAGGGAGCTACTCATTTTCCCCTGGGTATCTCCCATGTATACATGAGATATACATGCTAATAAACTTCTGGGTTTTTTTGTTTTCTCTTGTTAAGATGTCTTATTACAAAGGTCTCAGCCAAGAGCACAGAGAGTAGAGAGAAATTATTTTTCCTCTCCTACAAGATCTTTCCAGTTGGTTCAGTTCTCTCAGCCCAGTTCAGCCAGTCGTATCTGTGGCAGGAATCACTGCCACAGGCTCTTATTAATCCTCCTGCCTTCACTCCAGCGGCGACCTCCCCCCAACCATTTCCCACTCTGCTGCCAGACTTGTGTAAGATTGTCAGCCCTACTCTCCTTATTAAGTTCCTCAACATTCCCACTGCCCTCAGGACAAAATATAATCGGTTTCACTTTTAGGGAACTCAAAATTACTAGTGGTTCCAAACATTAGCAACTCTTCTCTCAACTACTGCCTTTGCATAAATTCACTGGTCCTGAAGGCAATGGTCCTCCAGCTCTGGATTTACTTTCTTGGTTATTGAAGACTCCCCATTCATTTGTTACACATTTTTGTCTTCTTGAGGATCTGAATCTCCCTGGAGAAAGATCTCTGGGGCCTGGAGTGTTGCCTTATTCATTTCTACTTCCCCAGTCCCTGTCACATAATCAGTGCTCTGTAAATGTTCAGTGATGACTTTGCTTTCTTATTTAAATGTTATTTTATTCCATTAAGATACTATTGGTGTGGGGCTTCCTTGGTAGCAGCAGTGGTTAAGTATCCACCTGCCAATGCAGGGGACATGGGTTCGAGCCCTGGTCCGGGAAGATCCCACATGCCGCGGAGCAACTAAGCCCGTGCGCCACAACTACTGATCCTGCGCTCTAGAGCCCATGAGCCACAACTACTGAGCCTGCGTGCCACAACTACTGAAGTCCGCGCACCTAGAGCCCGTGCTCTGCAACAAGAGAAGCCAACACAATGGGAAGCCCCCGCACCGCAGCAAAGAGTAGCCCCCGCTCACTGCAGCTAGAGAAAGCCCGTGTGCAGCAACAAAGACCCAACGCAGCCAAAAAAAGAAAAAAAAAAGATACTATCAGTGTGAAATTAGGGACAATTAACTTTTTTTTTTTAATTGGCTGTGCCTCTCGCCTTGTGGGATCTTAGTTCCCCAACCAGGGATCGAACCCGTGCCCTCTGCAGTGGAAGTGTGGAGTCTTAACCCTGGACCGTCAGGGAAGTCCCTAATTGGAAAAAAATATTCTTCTTTCTCAGAGATTTTATGTAAAAAATATTGTACATGGATTAAAAATAGTTATTTGCTATTATTTCTCAAGACTGAAAATGTGGTTACCCTCAGTACCACTTTGTTTGGATAATGAAAATTGAAGACAAATTAGTCCTAGAGGACTGGTTTAACCTAGAGGACTGGTTAAATTAACTATGGTATATTCCTACAGTGATATTAAAAAATATCCATGATTGGGACTTCCCTGGTCGTCCAGTGGTTAAGAATCCGCCTTCCAATGCAGGGGATGCAGGTGCCACCCCTGGTTGGGAACTAAGATTCCACATGCCACGGAGCAACTAAGCCTGCACGAGAAGCCCGTGTGCCGCAACGAAGAGCCCGTGCGCTGTAACAAAGACCCAGCGCAGCTAAAATTAAAAAACAACAAAAAAAGAAATCCATGATCTTTGGTAAGAAAAGCACAGTGCAGACCAAGTACAGCATGATTCATTTTGCTGAAAGAAAAGGTAACATTGAGAGGAAAAAGTTTTCCTTGCTCCTCTTCAGGTCCTTGGCTGGATCTGAAGATTAAACTGACAAAAACAATTAACAGGAGAAAAGCATACAATTAAAAAAATAAAAAAATTATTTATTTATTTTTATTTGGCTGCTTTGGGTCTTCGTTGCTGCGAGCGGGCTTTCTCTAGTTGTGGTGAGCGGGGGCTACTCTTCGTTGCGTTGCTCAGGCTTCTCATTGTGGTGGCTTCTCTTGTTGTGGAGCATGGGTTTTAGGCGTGTGAGCTTCAGTAGTTGTGGCACAAGGGCTCACTAGTTGTGGCTCGCGGGCTCTAGAGTGCAGCCTCAGTAGTTGTGGCGCACGGGCTTAGTTGCTCCGCGACATGTGGGATCTTCCCAGGCTAGGGCTCGAACCCGTGTCCCCTGCATTGGCAGGTGGATTCTTAACCACTGCACCACCAGGGAAGTCCCTACAAATTCATTTAATGTAAGTTTTTACGTGACATGGGAGCCTTCATAAGGAAATGAAGACCAAAAGAAACAGTTAAGCCTGAGTATTTTTATGCTAGGTTAAAGGGTAGTAATCTGGGGGGGAATTTAGCAAGACTTGCTCGTTAGAATTCTTCTCAGAGTCTCCTTGTCCTTGGAGATGGTGCTGCTTTCCTCTCGGTATACTAAGGGCAGCTCTCACTTGAGAGTTTTATGACCTGTTTCATGGGGTGTGTGTGTGTGTCGGGCATTGAGGGAGTGAGGAGGTCAAATGACTTTCCTGTTTTCTCAAACTCCTTCAACTTAAAATACTCAATATGTGGAGGTGCCATATTTTAGGATAGCATGTCCTGAACCCCATCGCTAAGTAGCACAGTGATGAAGAGAATGCCTCTTCTGGAGCCAAGCTGCCTGGGTTTGAATCTCAGCTCCATCATTTTCTGGCTTTGTGATTTGATTGAGGCTATTTAACTTTCTATGCCTCAGTTTCTTTGTTTATAAAATGGAGATAAAAATAGAATCTAGGTTCTCAGGAAGATTAATTTTGTAAAATGCTTAGGACTGTAGTGGGACAGTACATGTGTTTAGAAAATAAATCTCTTCATTCATTTGTTACACAAATATTCATTGAGTGTTCATGTGCTAGACATTGATTTAGGGTCATGGGATCTATCAGAGGACAAATCAGGTAAAGTCTCTGCCTCACAGAACCTACATTCTAGGAGGAGAAAGAGCAGACAAGTAAAGAAATGCATGTATGATATTCCGGGGCGGGTTTGCACTCTGAAGAAAAAACATGTTACACAGCGACGTGGTGGTGTGATCGGATTTACATTTTAAACAATTACTTGGCCTTTGTGTGGAGGATTGGGACAAAGACGGTCAAGGGAGTGAGGCGAGGGTTGGGAGGCTATTGCCGGAATCCAAGAACTCTTGGAGCAGCTTGCTAGCACTGGAGGAAGTAAAACGTATGCGGTTGTGTGAAGCATATACTTTGAATATGAGAGTCAGTGGGAGCAGCTGATGGCTGTGAATTCGGAGGACACCAGGTAGGAGATGATACTTACTTAAAGCCACAGATCTAGGTAACTTCCCCTACCGTGAGGTAGATCTAAGACCCAGGAACAAGAGAACCACATTTGCTAGCTAGCCCTGTCCTCTCAATAATGCTCTTGCTGTAGAGCACTTTTTCACTGAGATTCTGTATTATGTACCCAATTTTTTTTTTTTTTTAGTTCTTGGTTTCACCAAAAACTTAAGCTCCTTAAGAGAAGGAACCGTGTATATTTACACGGAAAACTGGCATCGAGCGAGCATTGAACGGGAACAATCTGACCAAGCTGCCTCCTCTGCTATTTTTGGGAAGGGAACCAATAAGCCTGATTGGAAATGAACACTGTTGCGCTTAATTTGTGTCGCTATATGTCGAGCCAAAAACGTTCAGTGCTTTTTCACGCCTTCCTTTATTTCGTCAACTTCATCACCTACTGCGAAGCCTTGGAGAGAAACCAGCAGAAAAGTAAGAGGCACACTTCGCAAAACGAAGTGAATAATTGGAAAGGAACTCCAACATCCGACACGAACTTTTGTCTAAATTCCCCCGGGTAATTACAGACAAGTTGTTAAAACACAGGATCAAACATTAACTTCTCATTTTTTTAACTCCAATATGTACCCCCACTAAAATACGCAACCTCAAAAAATAAACTCTCAAAACTGTTTCCCTCCATGGAAATCTTCAGTAAAAGGCGAAAATTCTATACGAGCTGAAGAAAAACCACAATATGGTTACTCGCTTCCGCTTGGAACACTCCCAGAACAACGTAACACTCAGCTCACTTATGGTTGCTCCGCTCCTGCGCAGTTCGCGCTCCCTGCGTGGGATTTACACAGACCATAGATTTCTAATAGGCACTGTCCCCTGCAACAGTGGACAAACCCCGTGGGGGGAACTCAAGCAGCGTGAAACTGTCTTTTCGTGGTGCACCATGGGTATGCAAATCGCAGGCCGTTCCGGCAGCTGGGCGACACCAGCCGCTGGCCAGGCAGGGCGGCACCGTGCGGACCCCAGGGCTGCAGCGCTCTCTCGTCGCTGTGGGTCCGCCCGGGAGCCGGCGCTTCCTTACCCAGGCTGAGGTTAAGTCCTACCATTCGGTACCCTCAGGGACCACCCCTCCCCCCACCCGCCCCCAACCCTGTTCTAGGGACAGAAGCAGAAACGGTCAAGCACAGACACTCAGGGACTTTGGGACCATGTAGGAGGCAGGTCACCACCCCTTCTGGAGGAGATGGCATCCAAATTATCTGGAAGGATGGTTCGGGTTTATGGGAGGTGGAAACGTGTTCTCCACAAAGGGAATGGCCTCTGTGAAGTTACGGGTGGGGAACATAGAAAGTAATCAGTCTGTCTGGAGTAGAGTGTGGTGTGTCTGAATGAGGGTGTGAATCCAGCCAGTCGCTGTCCTGAGAGAGCTGGGATGATGGCAGAGGCTAGATGGAGTTAGGCCTGGAAAGGGCTTGGCTTTGATCTTGTGCGATCAGTGATGGGGAGCCATGAACGGGGCTGAATAGTGTGCACTGCCACGCAGGGTGGGCTGTCCTGCAAACACTGGGACTTGTCCCCAAGACTGGCTGTGGTCAGTGCCCCGGAACTGACCATTCCTGGGGTGGTCCGGCTCCAACTGGCTGGACTCCTTCAGCTGCTGCCACACCAGGACACTGGGCAATGTTTCAGGGTTATTCACTAAGCATGCAGTTGGAGCACAGACTTTCAGCATAGCTAATATCCCACAAACTACAGAAATAGAGAGCACCTATGAGAAGCCGGGTGATGTCTTACATAAATATTTCATTTAAAATCCTGAAAGGAAAAACTAGTATCCTACAAGACAGGCTCTGATCTTCCCATTTCACAGATGAAGAAGCTGAGGCTCAGAGAGGTTCTCTGACTTTTCCAGGTCACTCAGCTGGTAAGTGGCACCGATGGAGTGACATCTTTTGCACTATTCCAGCCTGGTGAGCTCTCCTGCTCTACCCAAAAGCCCCTCCAAAGTGACCCAAACACTACTGGCTCCAAATCCAGTGTCCATCCCTTGGGCATCCTGGATGCATCCCCTACTCTAGGTTCCAAGCCAACCGCCTGCTTCTCTTAAGTCTTCTCAAGCATCTTAGTGTTGATTCAGCTGCAGAAGTCTTCCCCCTCCCTGCCCACTTTTGGTCAGAACATGATTTTCTGGCCTTTGGCCTGGTGGGGTGGAGTGTGAGAAAGCAGTACTCTGGGGGTGGGATCGGTCCTGGTGAGTGGGTGGCTGGAACCCAGGGTGTGTATGTGTGTCAGTTGAGACCGAGCCCTGGGATAATTGGAGAAGGGCAATAAAAGACCTCCCCCACCTCGTGCGCGTCAGATGAGACTCTGCACTCTACACCCAGGGGTGTGGCCAGAATCGTCCAGGCCTCTGTATAGTGGGCCTGTTCAACATTCACAGAACAAACAGCTTAAATACAGAGCCTCACTGGTTGCTAATGCAACCTCAATTTCAGCAGTGCCCCTACTGATCCCCTAGCTGTCTGGCCAAAGATGCCTCTGGGGCGCCAAGCTGACTGCTGACTTGCAGAGGCCTCTGCCTTGGAGGTTGGTCTGGGCACAAAACTCCTAAAATACCTCCCTGCTATCCCCATCTCTGTTTCAATCGGCCACCTTCTTCTTTTTTTTTATTTTGGCTGCATGGCTTGTGGGATCTTAGTTCCTCAACCAGGGATCTAACCCGGGCCCGGGCCAGCAATGAGAGTGCCCAAGTCTTAAGCACTGGACCGCCAGGGAATTCCCTCAGACGCTTTCTTGATCTGCTTCCACTTCTCCTCTCACCTGTTGCCTGGCTGTGTCCCTCTGCCCATCCCCCCATGCCGCTCACAAAGGAAGGTGGGTGATGAGTCTGGAGAGGTGCACAAGGCTGGCTTATGATGGCTCTGAAAGCCACATGGCGGGGTTTGACATCAAAAGCATTTGTATCACTTTGTATATTAAGCACTTCAGCCAGACCCTGTTACCATGTACATGACCGACACATTAGCTGAACGTCATCTTCACGTGCCAGGTGAATAAACACACTAAGGACTAGGGTAGCCTCGCGACCTGCGGCCCCGACGCCTCCACTTGCAAACTCACAGCTCTATCTGAAAACAAAGCGCCAAAGTCATTTGAGATGAGTTCATATAGAATATATTTCACTTTTAAAAATAAAACTTTCGGCATAGCTAACATCTATACAAACTACAAAAATAAACGTCTCCATATAAATAATTTATGTGGTAAGAGGTGGGCAGGGATACAGAGAGCCTACCCAGAAGTCAGCAAGCAGTGGGGGACCAGGACTGGAGAAGGGTGCTAGAGGATCCCTCAGGCTTGGTCTGCTGGGGGCAGCAGGGCGGGGTGGGAGGGGGGACAGGGCTGCACTGCAGCCTGAAGTGCTTGCTGGCTTTCACCCCACCCAGTCACGGGCACAGGCACGGAGCACCCGGGTGTGCAAGGCTGCTCACAGCCTAGAGGATGGTGGTTTAGTGTGGATCTCTGGGAGGTCTGTGATGGCTGGGTCGGGGAGGGGATGGAGGCAGACAGCAGCAGCAGCAGGGCTCTCCAGGAGTCCGCCCTGCATTCAATAGCCCCCCATGGCTTCCCGGTGCCTTCATGTGGCCTGAACAGGGTCTCCACGCTTCAGCTGCTCTTTCATCAGGTGGCTGGACATGGTCCCCTAGAACTGAGGTTGCTGGAGCCACTGGCAGCTGGTGTGGCAGCAGGGGACCAAGTAGGCTCTTCAGAGGCCGGGTGGATGTAGGCACCAGGCAGTGGGGGTGGGCGAAGGGCCACGGTCATGGAGGTAGTCACTCTGGCAAAGCTCTGGGGAAGGGTGGGGGCTACCCCCCACCTGAGCCCTCCTCCTTGTGCAGCTGGTGGGCTCAGGACCTCCGGGCTCTCCTTGTACATCTGTACCACCTTGGGGGAGACACCAGCCCCAGTGAGCCCAGGGGCTACTGGGGACGCAGCCTCCTTCAGCACCTCCCTGGTTGGGAAGCTGGGGTCTTTGGCGGCTTCCAGCAGGATATGAGAGCTGACAAGGGACAGGATGTCGAGGTCTGGGGCAAACCCTGCACCTAAATGGCTAAGGTGGGTCCCATGAAGAAGTCAGGAGGGCTGAGGGGTAGGGACATGATGTCTGGGCAAAGGGGGAGGCTGCCACCTTCAGTTGGTGGTACTTATGGGGAGGGGTCCCTGTGAGTTGAGCCCTGTCTGTTGGCCGCTGAGGGCATTTTGCCCTGGCTCTGTCCCACCCCGTCCCCTGGGCTGGGAGCAGAAGGAGGGTGGTCACCTCTGGTGGGGGGCCCAGGATGGACAGCAGCACAGGCAGCAGCACGAGCCCATGGAGGAGGCCTAGGAGTGTGAGTACTGTCAGCACCACGAAGAAGTACCTGGGGGTGTGTGAGGCCGGTCAGTCTGGGCAGGTCCTGCAGCCAGTGCAGGCCAGCCCTGCCTCCTTGCCCCGAGCCCTCCCCTACCTTACAATGAAGTCAAAGTTGGAACCAGCAAGCATGAGCAGACCCAGCAATGTGGAGACGGCCCCATCGGTCACCGGGGCCAATGTGTGCTCTAGGGCCCGGGCAGCCCGGAGGTTCCGGCTACCCTGGGAGGTCAGGAAGCCCTAAGGGAATAAAGTGGTCCTGGAGCTGCTCCTTGGCCAACCATGGCCAGCTCATCTGTGTCCCCAGGGCTCACCCATGCCTTGGCCCACAGAAGGCCAGGTGAACCGAGTCCCTGGGAGCTGCCCAGGACGCAAGCACGAGTCCATATAGGTAACACTGTATAGATGAGTGAGACACAGGGATGTCTAGAATAGGCTGGCAAACTACAGTCTGTCCCACGTTTTTTTGTAAATAAAGTTTTGTTGAAACACAGCCACACCCATTCGTGCACATAGTATCTATGGATGCTTTTGGGCTACCCCGGCAGAGTTGCCACAGAGACGATATGGCCTGCTAAGCCTAAAATATTTACTATCTGGTCCTTTACAGAAAAAAGTTTGCCAACCTCTGGTCTAGAAGGATGGACACCAAAGTGATAACTTCTAGGGGTGGCATTTCAGAGGATTTCTAATTCTTTCTTGGTACTTTCCAGCATGCTGACATTTTTTGTCTCCCAAGGAGTATATATTATTCTTATAAGCGGAAAAATAATAAGGCTTTTTATGGGGGAAGAAAGAAGGGAGCTGTTTGCGGGGTCTGGCCAGGTCTGTGCCGGAGCTGCCAGCTGGTCCACGCCCCCCACCCCACCCACACTCCTCCCCTGCCAGAGACCATGAGGCTGTGAGAGAGGCCTGCCTGCCTCTGTTCTAATATCTCTGTCTTGGTGGGATCTTGCCATCCAGCTACCACCCCATTTCTCTGATCCTCTTCACTGTAAATCCATCCAAAAGAATTGTTGGTTCCCATTTTCTCACCTTCCATTCTGTCCTCCCCCCTTTCTGGTCAGGGCTTTGTCCCTCCTCTCTACTGAAATGGCTGCTTATTCATTTGTTTGTTTACATGTTTATTGCTTATCTCTATGCTCTAGAATAAGCTCCTTGAAGGTAAAGCCCGTCTGTAGTGCTCTTATCTCCTCAGTTCTTAAATAGTACCTAGCACACAGTAGGTGCTTGATCAATATTTGTTGAATACCAAATCAGCTGGCCCACCCCTCCCCTAGTGCCTGTGCTCACCAGAGCCACATGGACCGTGAACTCGACACCAATGCCTACAGACGCCACAAGGATCACCACGGGGATGGCGCTCAGCTTGATGCCCAGGAAACCCATGATGCCAAAGAGCTCCACAGTCATCACTGTCAGGACCAGCACCTGGGGAGGGCAGGGCTCACCCAGGGCTCCTGGGCAGGGCAGGGTGGGGAGCTATGGGTCTCTCCAGCCCCACCCCTGCAAGGACTCACTATGAGGGAAGCTGCCCAGGGGTTGAGCAGCAGCAGGGCGCAGACGAGGAAAGTGCACACCAGCAGGATGCAGACTGCCAGCAGGAAACAGCGCCGCAGGCCCAGATACTGCTCCCAGAAGAGGAAGGGGGAGCCGCTGGGGTAGGCGCGCACCCCAGCCTGGCCTGCCTCGGCACACGCTGCCCGGGCCCCCTCAATGGTCTCCACGAAGTCTGCAGTCTTCTGGAGTCCGTGCAGTAGAAAGGGGAACTGGGCAAACTCCAGGGGCTGGGCCGCCGGGACTGTGGAGGGGAGGGGACGGAGGGAGAGGGAGGGGTGGCCAGTAAGCACCGGGAGCAGTGGGCAGGGCCTTAGGGTAGGGCCTGTGTGGGCCCAGGCCTAGGCTCTGCGGGCTCCCCTGGGACTCACTGCGAAGGTTCTCCCCGGTGGTGTCGTACTTGTCATGCAGCCACTCGGGAGGTGGGGGGTAGAAGTTGGCTTGTGAGGCTGCCAGACCCAGAGGGTCACTGCTCACCCACATGGTCAGCCCCATGTAGAAGAGCTCAGGTGGTATCAGCCCGTCCTTGTCCACCAGCTTCCTTGTGGTCAGCTGTAGAGGCAGAGAGAGCTGAAGGCTGGGCCCATGGGGCCTGGAGCCCCAGGGTGCTCCCTGACCCTTCCAGTCCTCTCCTAACCTGGCTGAAATCAAGAGGCTCCTGGGCATCCCCGGTCTGGATGAGCAGCTTGTAGGCTAGAGCCCCATCCTCAGAGCCATTGCGGTATGAGTGGTGGGTGATACGCCCAGAAGCCCAGTCCTGGTCAAACGCAGCCTGGATTCCTGGGGGAAAACAGGGTGGGGTCCGGTTGGCCTGGAGCTCTGGGAGCTCCTGCTGGCCGCAGCCCTCCCTGCCGGTCTCCTTGCCTCTCACCCTGTAGCCAGTTGCGGTAATAGTGCAGCCAGGTGCGGGGTGCCTGCGTGGCCGGTGGGGGCAGCACTGCCTTGAGGGAACTGAAGCGCCGGTGCAGATCAAAGAGGGCGCGTTGGGAGTGGGCGTAGTCAAAGCCACCCTGTGTCACCAGGGCCACCTCGTACAGAGAGAAGTACCTGAGCTGGGCGCTCAGGAAGGCATGCTCCTTGGTGCCCCGAGGCACCACATCTGTCAGGGCCAGCCCATCCTGCACCAAGGTCGATCCATAGAGGCTCAGGCCCAGAAGAGCCCCAAAAAGTACCAGCACCATGGCCTGTGGGAAACGGCAACTAAGCTGGAGGCCCAGGGATACCCTTGGGCCCTCAGATGCTGGGCTAAGCCCTCTTCCCTTCTTGGGGCCCAGAGATACCTAAGAAGCCTCTGCTGTGTCTCACCTTGACCTGCCTGGGCCTGGAGGCTTACCTTGGTGTGGGACTGGAGCAGCAAGGGTGCAAATCGAGAGCGGGCGAAATGGGCAAGATTCCAGCGGGCGCAGGGCAGGGACTTGCAGGCTGCCTTCTGCCTTGTCCCCTCCTCCTGGCCTAGAAGGTCCCGTGTTGACCCTCCTGGGCTGAAGAGCTCAGAGGCCAGTGGGTCAGAAGGTGGGGGCACCAGGTGGGCTTGAGGAGGCAGGAGGGTGACCACATGCTGGCTGCTGGCTTCACAGTGCGCAAATGCCTGAACAGTGGCAGTCAGGTGAGCAATGCCCACTGGTACTGTCCTATCCCCCAGCTCCTGGGGCAGAATCTGAATCACCCGAGCAGAGCAGGGGCTGGAAGAGGCAGAGAGAGGGTGATGGGTCTGTGCCTGGAAATGCTGCTGAAGGGACAGGACGGGATGGGGCCAAGGAAGGATGGTCTGGTGGGGTAGGGATACCTAGAGAAGCAGCAGAGCACATCAAGGCGCTGGCAGTGGCGCCGGTGCAGGTCCAGGCTGAGGACCGCTGGGAAGACAAGCATCACGGCTGCAAAGTTGCAGCCAACCACTACTGCCGCCTGCGGGATGGACAGGAGGGGCACAAAGCCTGGATGAAGCCTGCTCCGGCTCCATGCTCACCCTGAGCCTGGGCCCCGTTTGTGAGGCCTCACCTGCAAGGAGAAGGCCCGCAGTGCAGGGATGGGAACTAGGGCAGCCATGAAGAAGGCAACCATGTTGTTGATGGACGTGAGTGCAACGCTGGTGCCTGTGCGCTGCAGACACTCACCTGTGCGCTCCTGTCAGGACAAGGCAGCGTGAAGGACAGCAGAGGGGGGGAAAGGAGCCTCATAGCAGTTAATATTTATCGTACTGTTCTAAGTACTCGACTTGAATTACCTCACCGATCCTCACTACAACCCCTACGACACAAGCACTATTATTACCCCCGTTTACGGATGAGGAAATGAGGCACAGAGAGGTTAATTACCAGCCCAAGGCACTCAAACCAAGAGGCTCTGAGCCCCTACGCAGCACTGCCTCAGATGAGCCCAGGCTGGAGGACGAGGCCTCACCTGGAGAGGGGTGCCAGGTGGAGCCTCTGTGAAGGCATGTGCCAGCAGGAATATGTCATCCACACCAATGCCCAGTGCCAAGAAGGGCAGCACCTGGAGGGGCACGGGGCGGGCAGCTGGAGGAACCGGGCAGCCTGGGCCATCGGCCCCCAAGTCTGCCCCGCAGTCTTGATGTACCTGGGTAGTGGCGGCATTGAAGGCGATGCCGAGCAGGGCGCAGAGCCCGAGGCCCGAGGCCACCGCTAGGGCCACCAGCAGCACCCCGGCGAGGCCCACGGCACCCTGGGACTGAGCACAGTCCCACCGCAGCATTGTCACGCAGGCGTAGGCCAGCTGTGGGGAGAGAGGGCAGTCTTGGATAGGGCCTCCCAGGGTGGGGGCCGGTGGTGGGGGACAAGGTGCCAGGAGGACCCACCATGAGCAGGTAGCCTCCCACCACGCGGGCAGCGCTGACTTCAGAGAAGGCGTGCAGGATGTCATCCAGGGTGGTGGAGGAGAAGGCGTGGATCTGCTGGGACGCGTTCCCAGGCAGGGCCTCCTGCGCCAGCTGGAGAGACAGGGCTGTGTGAGGGGCAGGAGGTGGCAGCGGCCTCAGGGCGCCGCGCTCGCCACCTCCACGCCTCCACGCTGACCTGCACGAAGCGCCGCTGCCAGGCCTGCAGCACCGTGCTGGCCTGCTCCTCGCTCCAGCCGATGTCGTGTGTCTGGTAGTCGCCCCGGAAGTGCTCGTAGAGCTGGCGGGGACTCATAAGCAGGAAGGTGCTCTGCAGGGCCTCTGCCCTGGTTGGGGTACAGGAGAAGTAGGGGTCAGAGCTGGTCTGAACACCCAGGAGGGGGTGTGCAAGGGGCTTTTGCCAGAGTTGCCTGGTGTCAGGGTGTGGCTCCCCAGACCTGGGGTGCCCTTACCAACTCCCAGGGGAGGCCCTACCTCAGCAGCTGTCCTTGGGGGTCTCTGGCCATGCCTCCCAGCAGCAGTTCCTCCTGCCAGTGCATGAACTTGTGGGAGAAGCCATGGCAGCCCCCGCTCAACTCCTGAGCCACATTGGGAGCCTGGAGGGGGACAGCAGAGGGGCTCATTACTCAAGGCCCTGGTTTTGGATAACTGGGTGTCTCTGGGCTGGAACCTCCAGGAACCATGCTTGCCACGGAGCTCTGTGGACCTGGAGTGCAGACAACTATTCTGCTGAGCCTCTTGCTTACTCTGTAAGGGAGCAGCTAGTGTCCTGCAGAGAGGAGGCCACAAGAGGGAGCAGAGGCCTAGAGACAGGCTGCGGGGAGGAGCTGGCATAACTTTGGTGGTTTTGGAAAAAGGTCCACGTACACAGGGCCACACAGACACTCAGGAAATTAGGTATGATACTTGTGCTTAGCTAATTTGTCCTGTTTCCCTGTAAACGTGTATTTTGATGAAGTCCAGCCTTTCTGGGCTTAGAAAAGGACAAAGGGATTCATAGGCCACTTGAGGGTTCTTTAGCAGAGCTGAATAGGAATGGAACCCTCTAGGTGTCTAGCACAGTGGGGGCAGGGTAACAACGTCCAGGAAATGGGGGGCAGAGCACAGAGCAGTCTGCTCTCTCCTAGAACAGGGGAACATATGAGGGGAAAGGGAAGGAAAATAACCTGTCCCTGGCAGACCTGGCTGGAACCCACCTGCCTGCTGTGATGGTTAGGGGCACTAGATGGGCAGTGGAGGTCGTCAGGGTGCAGACAGGGCCGCCCCACGTAGGCCTGGCCCACCTGTGCCTTGTCTAGCAGCTCCCGGAAGCCCTCAAGGGAGGCAAAGGGGCCCAGCTCCTCCAGCAGCTGCTCTGGATCCAGGTTGGTCCACTGGATGTCGGGGCGGCCCCTGCAGGGGAGAGCTCACAGTTGGTGAGGATCAAGGATCAATGCCCACCCTCCAAACCACTGCGATGGGACCCATGTAGTAGCCCACCCTCCTCCTAGCTGCTCATCTGTCTCTCTGTGTGGAGGGTGGGCAAGGCTCAGCCCAGCAGGCTGCTGCAGTGAGCTGTGGACAGATACCGGGGCTGAGATGGACCTCAAGACAGATGGTACTTAACACAATGAAAAGGCCCAGAAAAGCCCCATTGCATTCCTTCCCAAACCGCCTATCCTTGGTTCTAATACATAACCATACAGGCACCTGCTTATAACAGGTTTTCTTTCTGGCCTGGGTCACAGCTGAGCTGACACCTAGTTAAGTCTCCCTGGCAAAGTCTTTCTGGGGATCTTTTCCGTCCTTTGTTCAGATCTTACAGATCTTCGTGTTTTGTCTAAATAAGACAGGTCTGCCTCTCCTTCGGAGGTGAGGCGAAGGGGGATGTGGAGAGAGCTCTGAGGCTGCCGGTGCTCTGACCCTGGCCTGGGAGGTAATTAGGCCCTGGGTGAGCTTTTGTTCATCATCTTTACTCCCACCCTCCTTTCTGCTGGGGAGATCCTGGCGGGGGATGAAGCAGGGCCCTGGGAGCAGCTGTGGCAGCACTCACGGTAAGTAGGCAGAGCCCCCTTGCAGTTTGGCTCCTTCCCAGAAGCAGTCGATGGGGGTGAGGATCACGCAGGGAAACAGCTTCTCAATCATCTGCCGGGGACATCCCAGGCCACATCAGTCCTGTCCCTGGGCTCTTTTCTCCATGACCTTTGTAGGATGCCCTCTGCAATGCCCCCACCTCCCGACGCCACCTCCCCCTTCCCCGTCTCTCCAAGCCTTCCCTTACTGCAGAAAAGGCTGCACCTCTACCTAGTCTCAGAGAACAGCTCAGGATACTCACCCGCTCGATCATTCCATTTTCAATTAGGGGAACTCCTGACTTGTAGCAGATTTTGTTCAAATCCCAGGACCTGCAATAGCCAGGGGCACAGGACATCAGCAGAAGAGGCGGATTCCCGCTCCAGCCCTGCTGCAGCACCTCTCACCCCCAGCTGCTCAGGGGCTCAGTCAGACTCACTTTCCATAGAGTGATACTTGCACTTTACTGGCGGTGAGGGCTGCCTGAAGGTGGAGGCCAAGTGCCTCAGGTGTGAGGACGTTCTCCCCCTCCTGGCGCGGGGTCTGTATCAACATCTGGGAGGTGTATGCAGCCTCCTCCCCCAGCTTCTCCTTGGTGTATTGCAGCTCTTGGCTCACCCGGCTGCCCGCTGCCAGAGCAGAGAGAGAAAGCTGGGGGGAAAGAGCCTCAGTGGATCAGAGCTCTGGGGGACGTGGGACCCTAACCCACAGAGGCCTCCCAGGACAAGTGGGGGAAGCTTCTCCCTGATGGCCATGCTGACTCCCAGGCTCCTGGCCCTCTGCTTGGAATCTGGAGTGGAGAGGTCCAGCTGTGTGGCTCTGTGGAACTCTTATGGGACCTAAGGTTTAAGCATGAACCCGGCTGGCTGGGTTTGGAGCAAATAACTTTAAAACGAGATATCAACAGGAGCTGGGCCAGGGTGGGGTTCTGGGGGTGTCCTGGTAAGGGAGCCCTCACTCAGTCCCTCTCTACTCTGGTGGGGAGGAGAAGGAGGGACAGAGGGGCCAATAGGGAGGCCGCCCTTGGAGGGTCTCCTAAAAGAACAGGTCTAGCACTGGGGGTGGTTCCTAGTTCAGGTTGTCCCAGGCAGTGGTTTATATCCAGACACTTTTTTGCAAACTGCTCTGCAAAGGGGTGGGGTGTGCCTGGCAATAATGGCTCTGTGGTGGCACAGGTGCGGGGGAGGGTCAGACGGTCTTTCAGTGTGATGCTGCCAAGATACTGCTTCCACTCATGGAAGCACTCCTGGATCCCGGCAGAGGTGACATCAAAGCGGGCCTGGGGAAAAAGATCCCTTTCACCAGCCTCTCTGTTCAGACAACGGCGAGTCCCGGCGCCAGGCCTGCCTGCATCTCCTTGATCAAGTCCTGCATTGCACTGGCCACGGAGGCCAGCTCTGTACCTGGGATCTGGGGAGGTGGGGATGCTGTGAGGGATGCTATGACCTGACTGTGGTTTGGGGGAGGCGAGGGCCAGGGCCAAACCACCCCGGAGGCTTTGTGGACTTGGCCTGGTCTTAGACCCATAATCCTGCTTCAACCCATCTGGGGCCTCTTCCTGTAAGTCACTGCCACCCTTGGGGCCCAACGGACTGCTTCTCTGAGACTCCAGCCCCACCTGGGATTATCATGCTCCCCAATCTCTTTTCCAAACCCACACAATCCCCTCACTCATGCGAGCCCCAAACCCTTGGTAACTCCCCATCACAGATTCACCCATATGCTCACACCTCCCACCCCCACAACAGTCTCACACAGCCATCATCCTGCCTTCTCCGCTGGCAATTCCACCTACTCTTTTTCTTCCTTTCCTGACTCCCCACTCCTCTGCAGCAGGTCCGTACTGCAGTGTTTATTTCACCAGGCTTGGGCCAGAGCTGCCACAAGGAGGGACAGGAGGGGAGGGCAGAGGTAAGCTCCTCACAGTAAGTGAGTTTGCTGAGGGGAAGGAGGCATGGGAGAAAGAAGGAACCCGGACAGAGCTAATAAGAAAGCAAGAGAAAGAGACAAGCACAATTTAAAATACAGCATCAAGGGAATTGATGGTTGGGACTCTGCACTCTCACTGCTGAGGGCACAGGTTCGATCCCTGCTCAGGGATCTAAGATCCCTGCAAACCATGTGGCGTGGCCAAAAAATTAAAAAAAAACAAAACAGCATCAAAGAGAATAAGGAATCCTCAGAGAAAATGAGGAAGAGAAAAAGATAAGTCTTCGCTGACGATGATGATGACAGATATGAGGACAGATGCACTAGGATGTATTGTGAGGCAAGAAGAGATGGGGCGGGGGGGGGGCACAAAGGCTCTGGACAGACCTGGCTTTGGGTCTTGGCTCTGATGCTTGGTCTGTGCTTGAGTAGATTACTTAGTCTCTCTGACCCTTAATGTTCTCATCTGTGAAATGGAGAAATGCCTACCTTGGTAGAATTAGAATCAATGTGAGCAAAGTACTTAGGAAGTTGTCCAGAACACAGTAGGTACATATATGGAGTTATTATTCAATGGCTGCTGGGAGAGAAATGATATGATGGAAAAATGAGAAAGAACTGGAGAGAAAAAGAGACTGTGAGTGGGGAAGAAGCAGGGGGAACAGGGGAAGGAGACGTCAAAATCATCACATTTGTTGAAAACTTTACAAAAGGGGCACATATATACAATGGAATATCACTCAGCCATAAAAAGAAATGAAATTGAGTTATTTGTAGTGAGGTGGATGGACCTAGAGTCTGTCATACAGAGTGAAGTAAGTCAGAAAGAGAAAAACAAATACCGTATGCTAACACATATATATGGGATCTAAAAAAAAAAAATCGCTCTGAAGAACTTAGGGGAAGGATATAAAGATGCAGGAATAAAGACGCAGACGTAGAGAATGGACTTGAGGACATGGGGAGGGAGAAGGGTAAGCTGAGATGAAGTGAGAGAGTGGCATGGACATATATACACTACCAAATGTAAAACAGCTAGCTAGTGGGAAGCACCCGAATAGCACGGGGAGATCAGCTGGGTGTTTGGTAACCACCTAGAGGGGTGGGATAGGGAGGGTGGGAGGGAGGCGCAAGAGGGAAGAGATACGGGGACATATGTATATATATAGCTGATTCACTGTGTTATAAAGCAGAAACTAACACACCATTGTAAAGCAATTATACTCCAATAAAGATGTTAAAATAAATAAATAAAAGCCACTGAACTGTGGCGGAAAAAAAAAAAACTTTACAAAAGGGAGAATATAACCAGTTAGCCAGCATGGAAAAAGAGTCCACTTTATAGGTAATCCAATAAATGCAAATTAAAATAGCAATGAATTATCATCGTTCAAATTAGCAAAAATTTAAGAATTGGTAGTACTCATTGCTGGCTTACAGGAATGCATTCTAACTTACCTACTGCAGGAGTTTAATTTGGTACAATATTTGGGGGAAAGCAATACTGCAGTATGTTTTAGGATCCTCAGAAATGTTCATAATCTTTGGTCCAGAAATTTCACATGTGAGGACCTGTAAGCTATTGTAGGGACTCAAGCTGTCTCTGTGTGGAATGGGAGCCATGTTATGTTTTAAGAAGAGAAGTGAGATGACCTGGCTTTTTCATCACCTGATATATTCTGGAGCTGAGCTGTGAATGATGCATAGGAGTTGGCCAGGGAAAGAAGTCAGGGAAAGGGGTTCTGGACCAAGTGTGTGCAGGTAACTGTAAGAGGCTCCGTGTTGCTGGGCTGCTAAGAGTGAGGCAGAGACAAAGCTGGATAAGCAGCCTAGAGTATGCTAAGGAGCTTGAACTTGGATTTGGAGACTCCCCGAAACCCAGTAGAGAGTGGTGGAAGGGCTCTAAGCAGGGACTGACTTGGCCAGATTTAGAAGCACCACAGGAGGGCAGTGCGGAGGCAGATTTGAAGGTGAGGGGGAAAGATAGTCACTTAATAGACCTCGATTTCCTGGGCCATCCTCTGAAAGGCCTAATGATTCAGGGCAGCTGGGCCCTTCCCCAGCCTTAGGAGGTGAAACTTGATTAGTCTAATAAGTCAATCACAGTAATTCCACCGTCTTTGCCAAGTGAAGGATTTAGGCATAGGATGCTACACAGTTCTTGCCAAAGTATATAACCAAATGGGAAGTCAGTGGGGGTGGATGGTGGGGAGGGGTAGGTGGTGTATTTTTCCTCACTTTCAAAAAGGGATGCAAGACAGGGATGACTTCCTTTTTCTACCGCTGCAGCAGCCACCTTGGGAGAAGGAGGTGATAAGCCCAACATGCAGAAGGCAGAGGAGAAAGATAGAAAGAAACTGGGTCCTTGCTGATGTCCTTAGATTGCTGAATTACCCATCCTGGAACTTCTCTACTGTCTACTGCTAGACCCCTTGTTGGGGGGGATAATAAATCATCCTTCTTCTTCCTTCCTCCCTCTTTCCCTTTCTCTCTCTTTCATGTGGCTAAAAGCATGCTAAATGATACAATCAGGAGTATACTGCCAGGCCTCAACTAGAGCAACAGCCGCAAGGGTGGAAAGGAGGGATCTGAGAGAGGCTGAGAAGGAAGAATTTTAATTGTTTAGTGACCAATCAGGTGAGCAAGAAGAACTGAGGCTGACTCTCAAGGTTTCAGCCTTGGGTGTCTGAGTGAATAGTGGTTCCACCAATTGATATGTGGCTGTCCCCTGCCTTCCAGACAGAAGGGCCATATGTTCCTTATCTTCAGGGACAGCTCCAGTTTCAAACCATCTCTATCACTGTTCCTGTAAGTACTAGTTGGACTACATGTTATGATTTTCCTTTTTTCTTTCCTTTCCTTCCTTCCTTTCTTCTTCTTATTTTTTTTGTCTGCACCACCTGGCTTGCGGGATCTTAGTTTGCCGACCAGGGATCAAACCCGGGCCCTCGGCAGTGAGAACACAGAGTCCTAACCACTGGACCACCAGGGGATTCCCTGTGATTTTTATTTTAGAGAATTTATCTGAGTCCTTCAGCTTTAATATTGATCAGGAAGGAGAAGTCACATTCCAAATCTCACCACGGCAAAGCTGGAGAGTCCAGAACTCTGATAGCTAATGTCTAGCTTCTTTCTTTGCTTTCTGCATTAACAAAACAGGAAAGGAATGGAAAATACCCTTCAGTCCTCACTGCCTAGGGCATTGTTGGAAGAAGCCTCAATGACAGATGTACAGAGAAAAGATCAGGTCAAGATCACTGCTTTCACCTCACCCATAGCCCCAGCTAATACAGGGCAGAGCGATATTCTTTTTTTGTTTTTAAGTAATGTCTTTTTTTTTAATAAATTTATTTATTTTTATTTTTGGCTGCATTGGGTCTTTGTTGCTGTGTGCAGGCTTTCTCTAGTTGCGCTGAGCGGGGGCTACTCTTCGTTGTGGTGCGTGGGCTTCTCATAGCAGTGGCTTCTCTTGTTGCAGAGCACGGGCTCTAGGAGTGTGGGCTTCAGTAGTTGGGGCACGCGGGCTCAGCAGTTGTGGCTCGCGGGCCCTAGAGCACAGGCTCGGTAGTTGTGGCGCACGGGCCTAGTTGCTCCGCGGCATGTGGGATCCTGCCAGACCAGGGCTCGAACCCGTGTCTCCTGCGTTGGCAGGCGGATTCTTAACCACTGCGCCACCAGGGAAGTCCCAGAGTGATATTCTGACATAAAGAGAAAAGACCTAGGAATTGATTACCACCCTCTTATATCACCCTAGCACAAGCAGCAGCAAAAATCCAGTGGGATCTAGCCTATCCTGTGCTGGAGTGTAGGAGAAAGGATGAGGAAACATGGAGGTTCAAGCAGTGTTTAGATTGGGAAGATCTGGGGAATGGAGAAGGAAGAGGTGGGAGACAGCCTCTACTGTGGCAGGAAATCCAAGAGTCATTTGGGACCACCCAGGCAGCAGTAGTGTGGGTGGGGCTATGTGCATGTGCGTGTGTGTGCAAGTTTGTCTTGGGGCTGGGGGCAGGCAGGCACAGAGAAACATCTGCTCTGGACCCCAGGGCTGGCCTAGAGTGTGTATATATGTGAGGGTCTGCAGAGGGCTGGGGGGTTGGGTGGGGATGGGGTGTGGGAGCCCAATAGGCAGGCAGGCTCCAAGAAACATCTGCTCTGTATCCTAGGGCTTGCTAGCATTTAAAATAACTCAAGGGTGTGAGAGTCTAACCTGGGCCCTGCCTTTGGGTGTGGGCCAGGGCTGGGGGAGGTTTGGGTGAGCCCACAAATGTAAATTTCCCAGGAAAGAACAGAGGAGAGTTGGACTCTGTTAAAGGGTTGCCATACCAGGCTCCAGCAAAAGAGAGTTATGTCAAAACTATTAATAAGAAATGATTTTACTCTAATGCTGCCATTAGGAAGTGAAGATTTGGTTCCATTTGACTCTGCTGTTGCCTCAAAGTACAGATTCTGTGCCACTTTTCCACTAAATGGTTGCAGGGGACCTCGGTGTATGGGACCTCTCCCTGGAGGCCTGCCAGATGATTTACTGTTTCCCCAGCCTTCTAGTTCTAACTTTTCTGATTCTCCTAGTTAGATGCGATCTCTCCCTGCCTTCTTTTATACAACATAATCATTTTCTGCTTTGTATTATATTGTATATTATATCCCAGCATATATTTTACTTTCCTTGCTACTGAAAGATGGGTCTTGTTTTAGTTGCCTTTACAAGCACTGCAGTGCAGTCAAATACATATTAAAGATTGCCAGTAAATGCTAAATAAACACACACGCACTCACAGATAACTGTTCCATATACCCATTCACAGGGTTCCACCATCTGCAGATGTCCATTTATGGATGTGAGAGGGAGCAGGCCTCCCAGACGCCCAGGCTCTGGAAGGCAGATGCCCCCTCCAGACCCAGCACAAAGCCCACTAGAACTCAGTAGCCAGCTCCTCACCCTATTCTCACCATACCCAAGCAGCTATGGCCAGTGTCCACAACTCACCTTCCACCCAGAGCTGTTCTAGGTCTGTTTCAATGATGGCCACGCGGAGACCCAACGCTAGGGCCCCAAAGGCCAAAAGTCCCAGGAAGAGCACTTTGCCACAGTGTCTCTGGATCCCACAGCCCAGAGAGAAGAGCAGGCCCTGGAAGTAAGCACGAAGCCAGAGTGGAGCCTGAAGGCTCCCAGCTAGGATCTGGGATGGAAAGAGAAGGGTCAGCCAGGCATTACTGCAACAACACATGAAGCCTTTCCCTTTTCTCCTTATTACACCCTCTACCAAGCTCTAGCTTCTTGGTTTCTGGATACAAGACAGAGGACCTAAACAGACACGGGCCCAAACTTGGAAAAAATTTGACTCCACTCCCTGCTTCCCACCCAATATACACCTGAGGAAGGCACAGATTCCTTTCTGAGATAGGATACATATACACACACCTGTTCTCAGGTGGACAGAGGTGGACATAGACACACCTACTCTCACCGGGCAGAGCAGGAGGAGACACGGACAGACAGACACACACACAACACAGCCTTCCTGGGCGAGGGCCAATAACACATGGCATTTAAGAGACATCACACCTTGCCGAGTGACAGACCTGGGGTCTCTAGACCCGGCCCCTTCTTCCGGCTTCCCCTCCACTCACCTGGGGTGCTGCAGATCGAGCTGGGGGTGTGTAGCCCGGGGGCAGCTCCCCAAGGGGTGGTGGCCGAGCCATGCTGGCGGGGATGGGGGGCCTGGGCGCCCCCAACCCGCGTTATCTGGGCGCCCCCATAGGCTGGCCTGGTCCCGCGTACCGCGAGGTCCCGCGTCGGAATTCAGTGGGGCCGCTCAGCCGCGGGTACGGGTGTACAGTGGCGTTCGTGAGCTGTAGGAGTGCAGGGCGGTGCGGGCCCGGGGCGCGGAACCGGAGTGGCTCCCGCGTGCAGGAATAGCTACGCGACGCCCGGCGCGGCTCGAGGTGGCGACCGCTGTGCCGAGGAGGCGTCTGTAGTCCAAGAAAAAGGGAAAGGCCGGGGCTACGCCCTCCCTTTGGCTTAGTCGCCGGCAAATTACCCGGAGCTGCGCGGCCGGATCCGTTGCTAGGCAACGGCGCCGCGGGGGGCGGGGCAGGAGACCACCCAGGCAGGGCCACCCCTCTCCTCGCTTCCCCGCCCGCCTGCCTGCCCTCGGGGAGGAGGAGGGAGGGAGAACCCGGAGAGGCGATGCGTTGGCCAAATGTTAAGTCAGGAGAGACCAATTCTGAGAAAAGGTATCTGCTGGCCGACCCAACCAAGACCCAAAGACTTCTTTTCACAACTCTCTGCCTCCATTCTCTCCCACGTCAGTCCACTCTCTCCACTGAGGCCAGTCATCTCTCTAAAACGCGAATCTGATGACAGCTGCAAAACACAAAGCCCACTTGGAGCACAGGGCCCTGCAGGATCTAATCAAAGTCTTCCCTCCCATAGTTCCTTCACACCCACCCCATGTTCCTTACAGCCCTGCAGAGCCACATGTAATTTCCTAAAGCCACCATGTTATTCCATGTATTTCTGCCTTCTTACACGTGGCCCTCTTGTTTTGGCAGGCCACCTTCAAAATGGAGCATGAGGGAATTCCCTGGCTGTCCAGTGGTTAGGACTCCGCGCTTTCACTGCCGAGGGCACGGGTTCAATCCCTGGTCGGGGAACTAAGATACTGTAAGCCTCTCAGCGTGGCCTGGAAAAAAAAAAAAAGAGACCCAAAACTGAACATGCATCAACCATCCGCCTTTGAAGTCTTCCTTGAGTCACACCACCCCTCCTAACGGATAATTGCTTCTTTGTGCGCCTTATAACACTCAATTTATATATTTATTATTGCACGTGATACAATTTATGTACTTGAAAGTCTGCCTCCCTCACTAGAGAGTAAGTAGGTGCTCAATAATTGTTGAGTGGGGCTTCCCTGGTGGCGCAGTGGTTGAGAGTCCGCCTGCCGATGCAGGGGACACGAGTTCGTGCCCCGGTCCGGGAAGATCCCACATGCCACGCAGAACGGCTGTCCGGAGCCTGTGCTCCGCAATGGGAGGAGCCACAACAGTGAGAGGCCCGCGTACCGCAAAAAAAAAAAAATTGTTGAGTGAGTAATTTGAGAGTTGCACAAACCAGTCTTGGAAGTGACTTGGAAACAGAGACTAGTCCCTTTATTAAACTTTCATCAACTGTCTGGCCTCTGAGTGTGTTTCTGCAGGTTCCTGACTGAGAGTGGCAGAGGAGGGTAAAATCAATATACTAGCATGTAAAGTCTGGGAAAGAGAAAAAGAATCTCCAGTAAACTCATTACTCTAACACAACTACTATTATCTCTGGCCAATTTCTTGGTCAATTCTTCCAGACTTGTTTATGATTACATCACAAACATTTCATGTTACTACATAGTCTTTGTATCAATCATTTGGAGAATGTCCTTAGGGACAGATTCCCAGAAGTTGGGGTGTTTGGTCAAAAAGTATGAACATTTTTATGGCTCTTGCTACACATTGCCAAACTGCTTTTTGAAAAGTTGTGTCAATTAACATCATCTCCCTGGAGATCTCTCCTCAGTTCTGGGGAAAGGGGAACTTTAGGCCAAGCGGGTGAACACCTAGCAGGTTTGCCACTTCCACTGGTACATTCATCCAGCAAAATGCCTTGGAGGAACTAATACATATGTGATGGTGTTGGCTAAGTAGTGACTACACAGTAAAAGCAGCATATGTGCATAGCACTTTGTTCCTCCCTGTCATAGAGAAGAGGGTCCTGTTGTGGATAAAGAAAGTGTACCCTCAGCAATTCTCTGGAAATAGAAATAGCCTCTAAACTAGGTTGTGTGGGCCCCCAGATTGCTCTTGCGGCTATAGCAAAAGATGAGTATGGCTGGGTGTCATCAGGACTGGAAGTAGAGAGGCTTTGCTGTAAGTAGTTCTTGAGGCCTCCTTCCTTCTCGCTAGATTTGCAGACATAAGGTCCATGGAGAAATAGATTGCTAATCACCTGGGCCTTGGGACTGTTTCCACAGCAGGCCCACCATTGCTAACAACTGTGGTAAAGTCTGGCACTTCTATGGATGCTTTCAGGGCAGGGCCTGCCTGCTGAGAAAACTTCTTGCCTTGTAAAGTCCAAACACCAGGGTGGGAGAAACTGGTCTGCAGTTCCAACAATTCTAACCCAGGGCCTAGTGCCCTCTGACTGCTCTGAGCTCCAAAGTGACCTTTCTTCTCCCCAACAAAGTTGAGTTCCTAAGTACAGCTGAGCTCAGCCAGGGTGAGCTAAAGCCACAGACCCCAGGGAACAGGGAGGGAAGAAACTGCTCTTTTCTCTCTATAAACAGCCTGCTTCAACTATGGAATAGCCTGGTTCACAGTCACTTCCACTGGACCTTGGTATGTGTCTTGGGCCCAAACCAGAGAAATTCTCCAAGGAATAACAAAAAGAGAAAAGCAATCATTCATTATCACCAAGGAGTAAATCTCACTACTGATTGAGACAAATATTCCTTAAGGTCTCTTATGGAGCCACCACTTTGCTAAGCTCTGGGGTTGCAGAGTACCTGATTTTTAGAAGTTCATAGCCTAAGAGGGAGCACAGAGACCACATGGGAAACCACTGTGAGCTGGAATACTCAGGGAGGTTTCCAGAAGTGAGAACATCTGGATGGGAGAGGTAGGAGGGTGACAGAATCTAAAAGGAAAAGACGGGGCTTCCCTGGTGGCGCAGTGGTTGAGCGTCTGCCTGCCGATATAGGGGACACGGGTTCGTGCCCCGGTCTGGGAAGATCCCACATGCCGCGGAGCGGCTAGGCCCGTGAGCCATGGCTGCTGAGCCTGCGCGTCCGGAGCCTGTGCTCTGCAATGGGAGAGGCCACAACAGTGAGAGGCCCACATACCGCAAAATAAATAAATAAATAAAAGGAGAAGACATGGTTCAAGGTCTGGATCTTTCATTTACTGGCTATGAGATCTTGGGCAAGTCACATAATCTCTGACATTGCCCTAAGGATTAAATGAGATAATATATATAGCTGAGGAACAGTGCCAGGAAAAGTGAAGCAAACCACCACACACACACACACACACACACACACACACACACACACGCATACACACATCAGGGTAGGGTCCATGAGGGAGGAGCCAGGGCAGGCCTTCTTTCCCTGGTATTCCCCAAGCTACTCACTCACCATGCTTTGGGCTGGCTTCTGTTACCTGGGCTCTTGTGGAGGAGGGAAGCAGATGCCCTAGCAGCCCCCTACTACCACCCATTATGTTTAGGGGCCAAGCCTGGGAATGTATGCCCCTTCTCTCTAGGCAGATTTATTCCAGTAGCACCTGTCAAGTCTCTAGTGCTAGAGGCTACAACCAGAGATCAAAATGGCCTTTTACCTTGATGGTGAGGGAAGGAGAGAGGATAAGAATCAAGGCAGAATTTCCCCATTTATCCATGGCAGAAGAGCCCCTGATGCAAGCCTTCTGGGTGGTGGCAGATGGCTCAGGCTGAAGAGAGGTCATCCTGACCTCTAGTAGAATGTGTTCTCCTGCTCAGCCTCTTTATCTCCCTGTCAGCTCCATCAGAGCTGAGCTTTCTAGACCTTCTGTCTGGGTGGTCCTTCCCCACACCCCTCTCCCCCTTCCTCAGACACATTTAACTATTTAAAAAGCAGCATACCAAGACCTGGCTTATGTACCTTCTTAGGGGTAGGGATGCCTGTGGATTAAAAAAAGTCTACTCTTTGCAATTCTCTGGAAATAGGAACAGCTTCTAAACTAGGCTGTGCAGACCCCTAGATCACTCTTGGGATCCAGCTAGAGTTTTCCCTGACGCCTTCCACTGCAGTTGGGAGTGGGCTAGCAAAAGCAACGTGGTGAAGAACTGGGAAGTTCAGCCTCTCGCCTTGGAAATAGCTTGGAGGGCAGTCTTGGCGGTCAATCCCCTTACAGGCTCAGGGAGCTCTTGCTGGCAGGTAGGGGAGATGGGTTACTGGGGGAGGGGTTCTTGCACCAGTAGCCATCAAACTGTGTCTGATCTGGCAAGCTCCCAAAACCCCAAACCCTCAACACCTCCCCAGAGTCCTCCTTGATTTGGCATTAAAGGCCCCCTTCCCCCTCTCCTCCACTTCCCTCATGCAGCATCACTGGGAGAGAGAGGCAGGGCAGATTCTCTCAATTCTTTTGCCTGCCTGGCTCTTCTGGCTTCTGTCCCATGGAGAGGTAGCTGGCCAGTGGACATGCAGTTGCTCACTACATTTCAAACCTCTGTAGATGCTGCCAAAAGGAAACAAAAGCTGTCCCTGCCTTCTGGCAGACAAACAGAGCAAAGAGAAGAGAAATCAAAGCACCTTGGGCACTCAGCCCGTTCTGGAATTGTTGGAGACAATAACAGCAGTGTCCTAAGCTGGGGGCTGCTCCCAGCTGGGACTCAAACTCAGCAAGGTCTTCCCCTGGGGGACTTTTACCTTGTCTTCTTTTTCTTTCTTTCTTTTGTAAACTCTTATTTATTTATTTTTGGCTGCATTGGGTCTTCGTTGCTGCGTGCCGGCTTTCTCTAGTTGCAGCGAGTGGGGGCCACTCTTCATTGTGGTGTATGGGCTTCTCTTTGTTGTGGAGCATGGGCGCTAGGCGCTTGGGTTTCAGCAATTGTGGCACATGGGCTCAGTAGTTGTGGCTCGTGGGCTTAGTTGCTCCGCGGCATGTGGGATCTTCCCGGACCAGGGCACGAACCCGTGTCCCCTGCACTGGCAGGCGGACTCTTAACCACTGCACCACCAGGGAAGCCCACCCTGTGTTTTCTCCAGCTCCCTCCTTTCCTTGGAGCAGGAGCTGCTCGTGGGCTTGTGCAAGGGAAGGTAGAGGAGAGGCTTTTCCTCTACTTTACTGTCAGGGGTTCCACGAGCTCAGGGGGGAAGATCAGAAAGGGGTATGGGAAGGCTCTGGGACAGCTTAATCAATCCCTTCTCTTCCCCTACTCCACCCTACCTCCAAATCCACCCATCTCTATCCCCTTTCTACAGTCAAGGAGCAGTCTTCTGGCCTCTTGGGCCACCTGGACCCCAAGGGTCAGAAAGCTCTGAGAGGGGACAAAACCTGAGAAAGTCACTTAAAAGTCACCCAGTCCAACTTTTCCATTTTGCAGATGTAGAAACTTAGGGACAGAGAGAGACAGTGATTTGGCCAAAGCCAAACAACATTCCACAGGGCAGGTCTTCTTCCATCGAGGCCAGAACTGTCTCTAGCATCATCGGAACCCCACAAATTTAATATCACCTCCAAAGGGGATCATCTTGGGCACTACCACAGCTCTTTATTCCCACCTCCCCTGCAGTCCTATCAGTTTCAACCACTCTGCCGGGCCATTTCAACTCCTGTCTGATTAGGACAAACTTTCAGGAACCTTGTCCTGACCAGTGGGAGGAATGTGGAGCTCTAGAGCAACCAAGAAGGCTGGCGGAGGTGGAGATCCCCCAGGGTAGGAATGCTCATCTAGTCTCTGACAAGTTCAATAAAAGCAACTAAGATTCAGGCAAGATCACTCAAATGAACTTGAGAGACTTCAGATTTTTGAAGCAAGGTAGAAACCAGTATTTCAAATCATTCTTTATAATTACAGCCACCCACAGTGAGCACATCAAGAGAAA